GCACTCAATTCCAGTGAATTTCCTATGAGAACCCTCGGGGGTTGTCTTTGGCCTCCAATGGGACCTGGGGCGACAGAAGTCAGGAGCGTGATCCCTTTGAGAACACAACCCATCTGCTGGGAATACGCAACGCTCTCCCTTTCCAGGCAGGAAGGACGGAAAGAGAAATCGAGACACTCTCCTGATTTACCCTTGAACGAAGTACAGGAAGTCATCAAGCCTGGGGGGGTGGGGGGCGGGAGAGGGAGGACGGGAGAGCAGGTGCTCACACCCGGCTGGGGCGGAAGCTGAACTGGTGCCTCGGCGGTGCGCGCAGACAGCTGCACCAGTGAGCTGCCGTTGGCAGGAGCACCAGAGCCTTCATTTTACCCAGAGGAACAACAGGAGAATACTTTTTCTTAAAGACGACACATAGAAGCCATTTCTGTTGCGTCTGCAACCTAGAGATGGGCAGCCCCTGGCTGAGGAGGTTGCCCTGAAAGCGTCGGGATGCTCTTTCTTCTCGGATGTTGGTAGAAGTTGGAGGGAGAGGGCAGTCAGCTTTCCAAAAATAATGTTAAGGCCACATTTCAAAAAGGAGAAACCTAAGGCTTTTGGGGGTCAGTGGGGGAAGCAGGGGAGGAGAAGCAAGTGGGAGGGAAATGAGGATGGAGCAGAGATGGTGTGCAGGAAGGCGGGTGGGTGCCAGGGGCAGAACCTGCTTTCCTGGGGACTCCAGGGGCAGAGGCAGTTGGAGCGTTCCCAGCCAGAGGGAGGGGAGGGGAGGGCCGGGCCGCCTTCTCCCTGCGTGGGGCTTGGTGAGGACAGAACCAAAGACAACGTGAGGGGTACACACAGGTGGCGCATGAAAGCCCTCCTCGGTCTTAAGAGGGGTCTACACAGTATCTTGTTTGTAAGGTAAAACAAAAAACCCAAACTTCCGAGAGAAAGAGACACAGAGAGGGAAACAGAGAGAGGGAGAGAAATTTGCATAGATTGTACATTCAGCTCCAGCACATTTGGGACACCTAATTATTTCCCCCCCTCCCCAGGTAAACTTCTCAGCAGACAAATGAGGTAGCGCCTGTGGTAGACCCATGGGCAAAAAGTAAGGTAACTGAGTTGAAGAGGGTGTCCCGTGAGCCAGCACAACTCCAGCACAGTGTCCAAGACGTGTGCCAAGATGGCTGCTCAAACCCGGGACTGTTTGACACACCCCTCCCTCCCTGGACCCTGTCCTTGTCACCTCCACCTGGGCAGGCTGGAATTCTGGAAGGTGTGGGCCTCTTAGGTCAGGTCTCCAAATTCTTTTTTTTTTTTTTTTTAAGCACCATCTTGGGACCAGGCCAGCCCCACAAGCCAGTTCTTCTGGGACCTTCTCTTCCACGGGACCATCTCTTCAGGGTGGAATGACCAGTAAGAGGTTCGTGTTCTCGCTTCAGAGCGATCGGCGAAATGAGCCATAATCTTTGCCCCTTCCTACTGGTGGCTCATTTCCTCCTCCACCAGGGCACGGCCTGACCTCCTCGCGAACCATCTCTCCAGAGAGCAGAGGTGGTTGGCTGTGCACGGGAGGAACTGTGGAATTTCTCTTTGTCCACACTCAAAACCGAAAAAAAAACCCATGAAACAAAAACACATGGTTGACACTTAAAAATCAAATTGCCTATGAAAATCTGGATCTCTGGCTTCCTTTACCAAACTGGAAGATTCTGCAGGCTCACTTGCAAAGACGGGCTGCTGTCTTCGGATGGGCCGTGTGCACAGACCCCAGTCCCCACCACTCCCAATTCTTACGCCAACCATGTTAAGTGTTTGCGACCCCTACCACGGAGTGTGGCTTCGACCTGGCAGGGTTTGGCCAACAGCTGTTCCTAGTATAGCCCGCCTTGGGTGCTGTTGGGGGGCTTGTGTCCTGAGTCCCCGGTGGACTTTGCTGTGTAAGGGGTCTTGGCTCAAGCCCCACCTTCCACAGCTGCTTCTCTCTACTCTGCACTTTCCTGGGAAGAGATGGCGGTTCCAGCCCATGTCCTCCTTGTACTTGTCAACCAGGGAGCCTGAAGGCAGCATGTCCACCCACCTCAGGTATGTGCCCAGAGGAGGTGCAGTGTGCCCCTTTTGGGGGCTGGGGTGGTCTTGCTCATCCTGAGGGCACTGGCATCTTAAACTAGCAAGGGGGGAATGAAACCCGAATGACTCCTGATCTGACCAGAAAGGTCTTTTTCCAAAGGGAGGTAAGGGCCCCCTTGTTAAATACGGGGGTCTGTGCATTGCTCACGTGCTCAAGGGAGACTGCTTTGCGCTTGGCCTGGGCCGTGGGACTTGGGAAGACGGGCAGCCACCTGAGCGTCACTGGACGGGTTGGTTGGGAAATGACACAGGGTGCCACAGCCTCTTGAATGCTTCCTTCTCCCCAGACTGCCCCCAGGCTCCTGGTCAGGGAGCCAGGGGCCAGGCTTCAGGCTGTAACTGGGGTTCATCTCCTGGGGTTGGGTCCCACAGCCAGAACGCACGGCTGCCTGTCCTAGTGGCCTTTCCTGAATCACTCACTCACAGGCCGATGACGTTCAGCTGTTACTGTGTCCTCTGGGAAAACATCACCTTTTTTCAAATCCTCCTGGGCTTTGTTTGGAAATTTTTGTTTTTAATAGCAATGTTAGTCCCTGGTCCAAAACCAGAGATCTTTACAGAAACACGGGGTGTGACTGACTGGCTTCTGAATTCCTTGCTGTGGGGGGGCGGGGGGGGGAGGGGTATGGTGCCCAGAGTAGACCTCCTCTGCTGCTTCTGTGGGGGTGGGGGATACCAGCAGTGTCATGGCTGCAGGAAAGGGTCTGCAGGCACCCACACCAGATCCAGGCCTGAGCCCTGCACAGGACACGGGGGAAACCGTGGGACTCCTAGCGGTCTGGCCGGGAGGGTAAAGAGGAAGGCTCCCTGGGTGGGCTGGGGCAGAAAGAGGTGGTGGCACTGGCCACTGGGCTCCTAGAGTTTGCGAGTTCATGGAGGGATGCTCCGGGTTTTCTCAGCAAGCTCCTCCGAGGTCCCTGGAGCCCCTGGTGACCGTGGCTAGCTCTGGGCTCAGTCCGGCCACTCCCCGTCTTCCTACACTGGCTTTCTCGCCATCTCAGGCTCGGAAGCAAGCCCTGCCAGGGGTCCTCTGCCTCCACCCGAGTGTCCCTGTGCCTGCTGTGGGCAGCAGGGATGGCTCAGGAGTTCCAGCCCTACCGGGACCGGAGGACCCGCCGAGGCTCCCTCCTGCCTGAGGAAAACGTAAGTCTCCAGTGTCCCCAGGGGTACCCTGCTTTCAGCCAGCGGACGATGCTGGTGCAAGTGTTCTCCTCGTGGTGTCCCAACACCCCCGCTTTCCTCTGAGGACATGGAGAATGCGGGGCAGACAGGAGAGAGACAGACACTGGGGGCGGGGAAAGGGGGGGGGCCTTTCGTGAATAAAGGCAGCTTCAGTTAGTAAGAGACATAACTGACAAGCTGCAAAAGCAGCACCTACTCATTAGTCATTGACTAAAACATAGAAATAATAAATACCGAAAGTGTCCCTCCTCCAGACCCTCCCTGGCCCCCAGGACATGCGGCCTGGCGGGGCAGGGGCTGCGGGGTGAGTGTGGAGCAGTCAGGGGGAACTGCAGTACCTTCATACCCACGCTGCCCAGAAACACAAGGATGGGCCCTTCAGGGCAGTTAGCAACCAGGGGTGGGCCTTGGCCAAGGAAAGCCTGTCCTGGGAGGGGGGCTGGGGGGGGGGAGGCTGCAATTGGAGAAGGAAGGGGCCTCGGGATGGGCTCTCCAGCGGAGCAGGGCCGGCCCTCCGAGGCACACAGCAAGGACACATTTCAGGTTTATGGCAACTGAAGCAGTTGGAAGAACACTATTGTTTGTTTAGGCTGGAACCACTGTGATGCTCAAGCTTCCACACGGCACAGCACAGGGGCCTCCGAGGCACCTCAGAGAAGGGCGGGCATGAATTTAGAACCCAAATCTGAAATGCTTGTTCCTGGATGTGAAAAGCCTGGTCACTTCCCTACAGCACCGGGGGGTGGGGTGGGGTGGGGTGGGGCAATTCCCAAAGGTCTGGAGTGCCCGACCTCAGAGCGCAAGGGCTCAGGCAGGGGGTGGGTATTGCTGTGCTGTTCAGCTCAGGAGTTGGCTCCAAACCATCTCTGCGTTTCCTGGCCATTGTCCCCAGAGTTCTCCCGGCCCCTGAATGGCTGGGAGATTTGATGCTCATACCCCTGAACCTCATCCCATTGATGCCACCTCAGGGGGCAGTCTGGAGGGAGGCTGGCCTGGACTGCAGACTTTGGGGAACCCTGGCCATGTCCCATCAAAAAGCTCTCCTGCTTATCTCGTTAGTGAGGAGGACAACTCACCGGACAAAGGCGGGTGGAAGGCTCAGCCAGTCCCCTTTCCCTGCTCAGGAGCAGGAAGATGAGCCCAAGGGTGGGGCTGGAGATCAAGCCCACGGTCTGGGCAGTGCTTTTCATACGGGGTTTTGCAGAGCCCTTGGGTTCTGGGGAGGTACCTCAGGAGGTCCCCAGGCAAAGGGACTGCCCAGTGGGCTGAGTGTTGAGGAAGAACCTCAGACTCGCCAGCTTCAACCAGAGCAGCCTGGATTTCAACCACACCTTGAACTTCTACCTCCAACTGCCCTTCGTAAACAAAATTCTGCTCAAAATAAAAGTTGGAGAATCACTTGACTGGGGGGATTGGGTCACCGAGGGGGAGGACAAGGAACCTGGAGGCTTCGAGGATCAACCAGAAGAGGTAAGACCACGATGGCGCTGGGACCCAGCAATCCTCACCCCCAGGGGCCAGCGTGCCCCACGCAGGTCGTTGGCAGGAACTGCCTTGACCTCCGCACCTTCCTTCTCCACCTTTCTGTAGCCAGGAGAGCCCCCTCATCCAAAAGGCACCCCCGGGACTGGGGGGGCCAGGGTCCGGGTGCCACCGGCCCTCGAGCTGCTTTCCCTCTGAGATCTGCTGAGGCCCACACGGGCCCGGTGCTACCTGAGCCGGCCATCGGGTTTGACAGCCCCCAGCTCAGACTTGGGGTCGGGGCTGAAGGAGCTCCAGGCCGTCTGGCTGCAGGGCTGCATGACGGGGCAGGCACTGAGGCCTGTGGTGCAGACGTCCATGGCAGTCCACATGCCACCTACCAGGGAGTCCAGCCAGTGCTCCAGCACTGCGCCCGTGGAGGCCGCGTTCCTCCGCGCCTGCTCCACCTGGGCCGGGCTGATGGGCAGGCTGAGGACGGGGTTCAGGCTCTGGAAGCTCTGCTCCATGTAGGCGCTGCGGGGGGGCCCGTTGTGCAGCTTCAGCGCCTCCTCTGAAAGCCACAGGGAACAAGGAGATGGTCAGGAGAGTCACAGAGTGCGTACCTCCGGGTGCCTTGCGTGGCACTGGGCACCGCCCGGCACCATGTCCGGCACGGGACAGTCTCCTGGGGTTTGTCGGCAGCCCTGTGGCACAGACAAGGACACAGCCTCCGGGGACACTCCCTCCACAGCCACGAGCCCACTTTGTGCAGGGCACGGTCCACACATCTGTCCCCTGAGCACAGGCTTACAGAGCAGCTCAGCAGTCCAGACCATTCGTTCACTCATTCATTCGTTAAGTTTTCTGCACCTACTTTGTGCAAGGCATTCGTTCAACACACACCTCTATCTGCAAAGCACTCATTCATTTATTTGATAAAGATTAAGGGCCAGGCCCCACTCCACCTGGCGCGGAGGGAGCCAGAGGACAATCCATAGATACGGTCCTTTTAGCCGGTGATCAGTAACGTGAACGGACTACACTGCGTGTGGAGTCAGAGCAAGGGCTTGGCGCGCTGTGGTCCTTGGGCCAAGTCTGGCCCACCAAGTGTGGTAAGTCAAGTCTGACTAGGACACAGCTGTTGTCTCTCTGCGGACCTGCCATCTGTGGCTGCTTCTGCCACCAGAGCACCGCAGAGTCATTGGGACAAACGGTGTGTGGCCCACAAAGCGGGAAAGGTCTACCGTCCAGCCCTTTACAGTAAAAGCTTGCTGGCCCAGGAGTTAGAGTGACGAGGATGTTTATCTGGATGAGGATGAGGGGGGGCAAGGGAGACCTCTCTGAGGTGCCACCCGAGCTGAGTGCTGGTTAATGAGAACGAGGAAGCCATATGCAGATGGTGGCAAAGAGAATCCCGGGCAGAGGCAAAACCTCAATAAAGGCCTTTCTGCAAATCACAGAGCTAATGAGAGTCGCAGCCAAAGTTTGAGTCCGGGTCTGTTGACCTCAGCCAGCTCTCTCCACAGCCCGGCTTTGCTGAGCAGCACCTCATGTGTGAGCATGCAGACAACAATCAGGGCACGTGGGTCTGAACCCACGGGGCTCACAGCCCTGGCGTGCGGCTTCTGACGCGCCTGCTCTTTCCTTGACCATCAGAGGAGTAGAGTACCTAGTACCTTAGAGCTCCATGAGGATTAAATGTGCTGACTGATATTAAGTGCTTACAATGGCACCTGGCATTAGTACCCAACATAACTTCCCCAACTCAAACCCAAATAATCCAGTCAGAAGTGGGCAGAAGATATCCAGATGGCCAAGAGACGCATGGAAAGATGCTCGACCTCACTCATCAGCAGGGAAGTGCAAACCAAAGCCACAAGGAGGTATCACCTCGCACCTGTCAGAACAGCTAAAATCAAAAAGGAGACAAGTGTTGGCGAAGACGTGGAGAAAAAGGAACCCTTGTGCTCTGTTGGTGGGAATGCAAGCTGGTGCAGCCATTCTGGCGAACAGTATGGAGGTTCCTCAGACAGTTCAAAAGAGAGCTACTCTAGGATCCAGCAATCGCACTACTGGGTATTTACCCAAAGAATATGAAAGTGCTAACTGCCAAACATATGTGGGCCCCTATGTTTACTGCGACATTATCTACCTAGCCAAGCTACGGGAATAGCCCAAGTGTCCGTCCATAGATGAATGGATAAAAGATGCGGTGTATACAGTGGAATATATACAGCGGAACAGTACTCAGTACCAACGAGGAGGAGATGTTGCCATTTACATCAACATGAACAGAGCTAGAGAGTCTAATGCTAAGTGACAAGACCATAGGATTTCACTCATGTGAAATTTAAGAAACAAAAACAAAGGAAAACAGACACAGGAAAAACCAGACTCTTAGATGCAGTGAACTGCTGGTTGCCAGAGGGGAGGAGGGCGGCAGGACGGGTGCAAGAGGTGATGGGGGTTCAGAGTGCACTTGTCGTGATGCGCACGGGGGGATGTAAAGAACTGTCGAATCACTATACTGCACACCGGAAACTACGTCATACTGCACGTGAATTATACTGTGTGCACACATGGATGGCGCTTGGCGAAGACTTTAAGTGCTTGGAGAAGTTTAGCCAGGATTATTAGGGTTGGTGTTATTAGTACACAACCCTTGTACACACACACAGCCACAGGGCTGGTGTTATGCCCATTTTGCAGATGGGGAAATGGGTGGCCATCGTGCGAGACGGATCTGCGGTTAGGTCCTGGACTGGCTGAGTCCAATGCCCGTTCTTGTCCTCACGATTTTCTACTTGTGGGCTCATCCACCAACTGGAAGCTAAAAATGTTTTTCCCCTTAATTTTATTTTCATCTGGAAGCCAGTCTTTCCAAGACGTGGTTTCCCCATCTGTAAACTGGATACTCGCCCTTGCCCCAGTGAGACCCCCAGGGCTGGCAAGGGGCTCAGGAAGTTCATGTGCTCTATGAACAGTAAAGGGACACATCAAGAGGGGGCTGTGACTACTTCCTGGGGCTTACAGATGGGGAAGCAGAAAGTGCACACATTTGGGCTGACGGAGAGAAGCTAGACGTTTCTATTTTGGAGAAGTTCCCTCTTATTGCCTGTTTCATTGCCAAACACAAGAATAGATTTAAAAAACCTACTGGCCACTGATTTTGGTGAGTTGTGTTTTAGCCAGTCAGCTCTGGCTCGGGTTGAGATAGCTAGGCCTCCAAGACACGTCCTTATGGGACAGTGTGGCATTCAGAAAACAGTTCCCGTTCACATGATGGTGGCTGTCCCCCTCAGTGGCAACCAGGACAGCTCGGATAATCTGCATGCTGTTTTCGAATATGTGCGGTCCTGAGTGCGGTTCAAGGAGGCAGAAAGACCATACACCTGCCCTTCTTAAAGTAACCAGTGGAATTAACAACATGCCTTATAAATCTGGCCCTAGCCCACCTCTTCCTGGTGCTGGCAGGCAGGGTGGGCAGCTACTGGACCATCTGTCTGAGAACGGAGCCTGTTCTTTCTCAAGCAGGTCCTGCCTTGTCCACTGGAGCCTCTCAGTCCCTCCACATCTGCAGGGCTGGCAGTGGGGAGCTACCCGAACCCACAAAAGGCCAGACATACAAAGTGAAAAGAGCAGCTAACAAGCATCTGAACGTGGGGAACCAAATATTGTGGCTGATGCAGAAAACCCTTATGAAAAATGAGGTTAATGTGGGAAATGCTATTACAGCATCAGCCCGTGATGCGCGCCTCTATAATTAAATTTTCCTCAATTCCACCTCATCAGATTTCTTGAGATTACCAGGGACGCATCAATAGCAAATTACTCTTGATGAATCATTTTACAAATTGCATTGCCCCCACCTTCGCGTTCCCTGTCACTGGAACATTGTTAACAGACACACTTACTGACGGGTGGGGGGGGGGGCGCGGTGCTGACCCCTGGCTTATCCTGGGCAGGGGAAGTTAGAGCCTTGCCATCTTCAGAAACTCCAAGGAGAAAAAAAAAGCTGGAAAAATCAGGACCCAGTGAATGGTCCCAGGGCTTTTTTTTCCCTGGAGTGGAGGACCGCTCCTTTGTTCTGTCTGACAGGTGTATCTGGAGCAAAGAGGAGAATGCTATTTTTATCGTCGTCCTCTGCGTCTGGCTTTGGGAACTCTCAGGGATGCTAAGGATGGGAACCTCATCAGGAGGGCACTTGCTAGTGCCCAGCTAGTTTTGGAGGGGCTGTCTTTTGCCTGTTTCGCAGGGCAGTAGGGGGAGCAGACTTCCATCTCGAGAAAACATGAGGTCTGTATCTTTCCGCTTGCTCAGCACAGAAACTTAGCAGAAGTCAACAGAGTTCATGTCACACCCCCGTTCGGATTCCAGGCGCCCCTTCCCCATGTCTTTGTCCCCCTCTCCTTAGGTCACTGGCTAAATGGCACCCAGCCCAGAACTCTTTTTACCTAATAGAGGCTGTAATGCGTTTTTGGCTTCTGGGTTTCTGATCTGTTGGATGTAGACAAACAATTTCAAATATCAAGAGATCCAGAAATCCTGTTTCTAGGAATCTATTTTATGGATGTATCTGTATGGGCACAGACAATTTTAGATTCAAGAATCTTTGCAGTGTTATCTGTACCACCACCACCACCACCACCAGAAGCTGTGTGTCTACTCACGGGGGAGACAGATGGATTCTGGGTCCTTAATCCAGTGGAATATGAGGCAGCAGGTAGCTTTAGATACACAGACTCAGAAAGTCCAAAGAGCAAGTTTCATGACAAAATTATCACTCCATTTTCAAAAGCCAGCAATGTGTGACTTGTTTTGTATGTTGTTTATGCTTTAGAAACCTCCAGAAACCTCTAGAAGGATGAACACCCAAGTGTTGGCAGCGGTTCCTGTGGGAGGTAGGGCTGAGCGGGGAGGAAGACCTTCCCAGTGATCAGGGGAGGACAAGAACACAGAAAAAAGTAAGTAAATTCTTCGGATGAGAAAAGACAAAGAAGGCGGGCACCTTAGGAATCCAACATGCCTCTCCATGCCCAGCGGGAACCACCGTCCTGATTCCGTGTCGACGACTCATTTCCTCACAGCTTTCTAGACACGAGAGTCCTGGAATCACGTACTGGTGGCTGGGCCTGCTTCTGCACTTTAAATATATGCACCCTCGTTATGACTTCTGCGATATGTCCCCCTCAACGTTACGGTGTAGAGACTCATCCAGATCAGTGCACGGAGCGGAGTGGTGCTGCTGTTCCCGGCCACGCAGAGCTCCGCTGTCTGGGCAGACCCCACGGTGTCTATCCACCTGAATGTGGGTGTCTGGGTTGCTCCTGGTTTGGTGCCATTAGGAACAGTTCTGCTCTAGGTCTGCACAGGTCGGTCTGTAGGGCATCCACAGAGGCCTGGGATTGCTGTGCAGCACGGGTGTGTGCGGTGTGTGCATGGTGGTGTGAAGTGGGATCTCTTTTTGCTTTTCATTTGCATTTCTCTCATTACTCATGAGGCCGAGCATCCTTTTATATGTGTGTGGGCCATTTATGCGCTTTTTTCTTTCTCCTTTGTAACAGGAGTTGGCAGTCCTTTTTTTTTTTTATAAAGGGCCAGATAGTATTTTTGGATCTATGGGCCATGCAATCTGCGTCACAATTACTCAGGGCTGCCACTGAAGTCCCGAGGAAACCATAAACAATATGTCAATGAATGGGTGTGGCTGTGTCCCAATAAAACTTTATTTACAAAAACAGGGAGTGGGCCAGATTTGGCCTGTGGCTTGCAGTTGGCTCTGATTTATGGGATTTCTTTATATATTTTGAAGGGATTTTACGTGTAGCAAATATTTTTTACCAGATGTAGTGTCTTTTCTCCTAGTGTAGCATGTTTTTGATGAACAGAATTTCCTATTTTAATTATTGTTTTTAAAAAAGTGAGTAAGATTTGCTGAAACTCAGTATCTGCCTGGGTTTATTTCCCATCTTAAATACGATCAGGGCTTTCTGGAAGTCCAGTGGGAAAGCAGGTAAGAATTAGATACCTAATACGCAGACAGATGACATCACCTCAGGGTACAAGTAGAAAATTAGAAGGTTCTCTATGCAAACAAGGAGAAAATACAGAGCAGACAGCACTGTTCTCCGAGGTAGCCTACATGCCCCCCATGTGAATGGCACTGCCCACTGAGGAGGAAGACCCCAGAGAACCCCAGGATGGAATATTTCCCCGCAGAGACGATGGGAGTACTCACCTGGTTTGATGGGCTGCCTGTTTGAGAAGGTCAGCGGTGCAACAAGGAATTTGGTCTCTGCAACTGGCACCCAGTGGTGAAGAATTTTCACTGTCCAGATCCCGGGCCTCAGGGGCAAGTTCAAAGGGGGCTTGTAGTGGGTGAACTCGGCAGTGGATTCAATCAGGATGTCGTAGGTGGCTGCGATGATGTTGACGGGATCCACCCAGATGACAGTCACGGTGACGTTGGGGCCTTTCCCCCATTTCTGCATGCCTACTGGCTCGTCCATGGGCCCCAGGAGACCCCCAAAGTTACGGAAGAGCCGCTCCTTGGCATCCCACTCAGTGCCGACCTGAAACAAGAGAGCGAGTCCTCAAATCACTGAGCCTGAACTAGGGCACAGGGTCCCAGAGAGGCCTAAGATCCTGCTCATAGGAACGCATATACCCATTTTACAGTTGAGGAAACTGAGGATCCCAGTAGGTCACCTGCACAAGACTGCACAAGTAGTAGTAAGCAGAAGATTTGGGATTTGGACCCGGTCTGGGGGATTACAAGGCCTGTGGTCCGTTCATTAAATCCTCGGGCCTCCTGTGCCTGCCACAGGCAGGGTTCGTGCTTTGGAAAGAAAACACACCACGTGCACTGAATGAATGAATGTCTGCTGGCAGGCCATCCCCAGGAAACTTACATCTCCCCCTCCCACCCCCCACAGCAGGTACAGCTGGTTTCCACTTCGGTGCTCAGTCTTCTAGATCAGGCACCTCCATTTCATGTGACGTTCTGAACAAGGAGGGTCCCTCAGCCCCTCCTATCCGGGCAGGAGTCCACGTGGCTTTTCTAGGAAGCCCCAGCTGTGGCCTCCCTACAGCACTCAGAGCTGGTACCTCGGGGCTGGGGGGTGACTGTATGATCCATCCTTCCTGCCAGCCAGCTCGGGGGTGTGTGTGTCTGGCTGGGAGTCCGCTCTCGGCTTCCCTCCTGCTTCTGTTGCCTGCAGCGTACGGTCCAGCCAGGAGCCAGGAAGACCTTGTGAATCGTCCTCTCGCGGCTCAAATGCGCCCGTGGCTAGTGTCACTGTGCTTTCCAGGTGCCTAGCACTGGGCCTGGCACACAGCAGGTGCTCAGTATCTGTGGAATCAGCGGGTGAATGACACTCCGGCTCGCCCAGGAGGCTTTGTCCAGAGTTTCTGAAGACCCAGCACGTGGGCACGCTGGTAGTGGATGACGAGCACACGCGAAGGCTCGCCCGTTCCCGTGGTCTTTACGACCAGCTCCTCCGATGAGCGTGCACAGGTCGGGGTGAGGGATGCTGGCTGTGCGGTGCCAGTGGGAGCCGGATGACTTTCTTGTTCCTGCCACGAGGCCCCGTGTCCGTTCTTGCTCCGAGACACAGAGCTCCGCGGCTTGTATTTACCCAGCGCTGAGCGCTTCGATGCACTGGCCTGCGTGACTCTCTCAGCTCCACGAAGGGGAGACCCCGTCATTACCCTCCCGTCACAGACGAGAACGCCGAGGCTCAGAGCACTTAGGTCCCTTGCTGGGGCCGGTGAGAGGCAGAGCCGGCACGGGGCCCCCAGAGGCTGTGTTCTTACCGAGTCTTCTGTGTCAGCCTCGCGTTCACTCCCTCACACGTTCATCCAACACCGACGTGCCGGATGCCTGATGCCCACCGGGGATGCACCCCCGCCCCACCCTGCTGCGCGCTCCCAGGCTCCGTCTTTAGACAACAAGCCTCCAGACTGGGACCAAGGAGCTGTCCCGGCGGAGCCGAGGCACTGACTGCGGTAACGTTCCTGCAGGGGTGGCTGGCCCTCCCAGATGGGCGGCGTCTGGACATTTCTACCGCCCCTGGCCCAGCTCCTCCCGAGGCCCCTGGTGCCAGCACAGTGGCTGCATCAGGGCAGGAAGGAAACCCGTAGCAGTTAGTGAAGAAATGCGCGAGGGAGTGAGATTCCAGCTAGCCTCCGAGTCTTGAGATGTCTCTGAAGAAACCCAATCCTGTCCCCTCCCTACGTGCAACCCTCTTCAGCACCTCAGGATTCTCAAGCCTGGTCTCTCACCCCATCCTGTGAGGTCTGGTCCCTTTCCGTCCTGCTTCATCTCAACCCCTCGCCCTCCTCTCCACTCACCCCTGCTCTGGGCCACCTGGATTACTCTCGGCGTGTCCACGAGGAGGGCGCGCTCTCGTCTCTGACCTTCCGTTCGTTCCTGGCCGTCTGGCTCGAATAGTCTGCCTTCGTTTCCCCTCCCTCTTGACCAGCTTCTACTCCTCAGGTAGACCTCAGCCGAGGTGTCTCCTTACTCGGAAGCCTTCCCCGTTAAAGCCTCCACCCATCTTGGGGTTTTTTGGCACGGTATTACAACTTCTAATTTACGCGTCTCTTTCCTTAGCTCAGGAGGGTCAACTCCACGAGGAGAGGGACTATATCGGGCTTGCTCACCAGTGTATCTCTAGAGCCTAAAGCAGTGCTGACCACATGGTAGGTGCTCAGCCTCTTTCTTTCCTTCCTTCCATCCATGCATCCAACCTCTAGCCACGTCATGAACGATTAGGGGCTGAGCACACGGACATCCCTACGTGCCAGGCCCTCCACACACTGGCTTTCCCACAGATACTAACAAGTGGATGAATGGTCACACAAGGAATGGGGTCGTTCTTAAAGAAGGGCTTTGTGACCAGTTAGGGGAGGCCACTCCAAAACAGTATCCTTGGATTCCCCCAAAGAAATGGCGGTGAGCAATCCTCTGAAGTCTGAGCTCTAAAACCAAGACAGCCCAGGTGGAAGATCTGTGGAGCAGCTATCAACAGACAAGCTGGCTCTCATTTCCAGTCCTAGGAGAGTGAGCGGAAGGCTAACTGCCACCCCCCAGTGCAAGTGGGGCTGGGGCTGCCCGAGATGGGGCCCTGCTGCTATCACACCCTCCGGGGCTTCGAGATCTTCTCACGGACTCAGTGTGCAAGTCCACGGCCACTTACTACACAGTGCTCACTACTCAAATTGAAGTCCTTGTTCAAGTTCACCATGTCACTACTCCCCAACTTCAAACCCATTAAAAGTCTCTCACTTGCATTTAAAATACAATCTGAGCTTTTTTCCTGGGCCTTCAAGCCCCCTCACGATCTGCCCCATCCACTCTGAGATCTCCCTTCTTCCGCTGCCCTCCCTCTCACTCACTGTGCCCTGGCCACATTGGCCTTGCTGCTCCTTGAGTGTGCCCAGCTCCCTCCTGGAGCCTCAGGGCCTTTGCACATGCTCTTCTGCTTGAACTGCTCCAGACCTCCCCGTCACTGGCTCTTTTACAGCTTTCAGCTCTACTACAGTTACCTCCTTAGAAGAGCTTCCCAAATGAATCAGTCCCCATCGGCCTCTTCAGCCCTTGGCAATGACATGAATGAAGTTTTATGTTCTTTATAATACTTGCCATTAGCTGAAATGTTTTCGTTCATTTATTTGCTCGCTCATAGGCTGACTGCCCCACCTGACTAAATTCCATGGCAACGAGAACCTGGACTGTCTAGTTCACCATGGCCTCTCCTGCACTAGGGCATCGTAGCCGCTTGGTGACTATCTGCTGTGAAGGAACGAGCATCTTTTCTGCAGGCCACTAGCGTGGAGCTCCCGTGGGAGGGAGAAGTCCATCTGACTGCTCAGCGACACTGGCTGTCTGCTGAGAGCCAGGCCCTGAGCGGGGAACCCTGGGGCTGTGCCACCACGAGGGGCATCCCCTGCGGTTCTTCCTTTCCCTCCTGTCCGGCGTTTGCCTTAAAAACTATTAGGACTTCAGAAAAAAATACAGACTACAAACTTCATGGCTCCCTGCATCACACGCTGTTACTCTGCCAGAGATCTGGGTGGTTCTCACATCAAAATTACCAGCCCTACAGTAGGAACCCTCACAAATCACTAGGCACAGAGTGGCCACGCTCATCTGCCACTGCCAGAAGTGCCCCGTGACCCAACGGCTGGCTCATCAACAGGGACAGCCCAGCCGCCGGGCATCCATCTCGTTAATGGGACATTAATGTCTTCAATTGGCCACCTGGGCCCCCAGCGCAGAATCCAACTGGGGCAGTGTTTTAACTGCCCCCTGACGCTAGTAATTTATGGAGGCGGCTCCCATGGCAGCTTGGATCCAGCCAATCCATTTGGATCCTTAATTGAAAATGGTGGCCTCACAAGAAACCCCAGTCCGTAGGGCATAGCTGGGCCAGGTGGGGCCATGGGCAGCTGGGAAGGGACTGGCATGGACCGTATAAGCAGATGGGATACTCCCCCCCACATCCCCCAACTCCCAGCCCTTTAAGAATACTTCAAGAATACTCCGTATTCTAAAAAACCAGACTCTTCATCCCTAACCCAGCAGCCACACTCATGGGGAATGCTGAACTCCGGGGATTAATCACCTCCTTTATCTACTTGCAGAGATGGGGAAGGCAGAAGTCGGGTGCTGGAGGTTGGTGTGGACCAGCCCTCACTAAGCTGGATCATGCTTCCCTTCCTGCAGCGTCCCCCCTGCCCCCAAGTGCGTGCACTCCCTTCAGAAATCATATTCGGCATCTCCAGATGCCATGTGCAGGGAACGCAGCAATGAGCAGGAGGGACATGGTCCCAGCTTTCTCGGGGACAGTCGACAAGTGATTAGAGAAATCAACAAGATGATTTTGAATGGTAAATGCTATAAAAACAATAAAACAGGTACGTGTCAAGTGGAGAATGGAGCTCTTGTGCACATGGGTGGGCAGGGAGGGCTTCTCAGAGGGTACACCATTTAGATTTAGATCAGAATGGCCAAAAAAAAAAAAAGCTAGCCCTGTGGAAATGTGAGGCAAAGTATTTTAGGCAGCAGGAACGGCACCTGCCAAAAGGCCAGACCAGGTATGCAGGTAGGGCTAATGTGACAAGGGTGGTGCTGGGCAAAAAAAATAACTAAAATTGCATCCCACGGATCCATGCACCCATCCGTCTGTCTATCCACTGGCCCACCTGCCTGACCATCCATCCATCCATCCACTCATTCATCCAATGACTGATCTGAATAACCCCGGCACTAGGAACTGGGGAGACAGAAACACCATGAAGCATGAGATTTGTGGCCACAGAGACCCGGGCTTAATTTGAGCTCTTCCACTTCCTAGCTATGATCCAGAAAAATCCCTGGCCCTCCATAGGCCTCAGCTCTCCCATTCTGGAAAAGGGGACTAATGCCATTACTTCACTAGGAAACTGGTCTGTCACGGTCTACGACCAGTAGAGGTCAGGAATCACTGGCTGGGATGAAAATTGAAGAGGAATACAGAGTCTACTGTAAAAAACAGACCACGGCTCCAGGTCGGTTGGTCCCCCTGCTCCCGGCCGCCCTCCGTCTCTCTCCCCCGAGCCCTGTTTAAGATGCTGGTTCCCATGTTCGGGGCTGGAGGAGCCTCTCTAGGCACAGGTGTGCTATCTTTGGGGCTCCCCAAGTCCCCTTCCCCCCACCTCCGTCACCAAACATCAGACTGGCCAACAGAACCCAGCAAAGCAGCTGGAAAAAGACCATGAAAGCGCGGCCTCCCACCTCGGAAAACTGGAGCCTCCCGAAGTCACTGGGTGGGCTTGCGATCTTGAAGACCTTCTTTGGCATCACCCACGTCTCCAGGGTCTCCAGTTTGCTCACGGCCAGATTGGTGGCGTGATGCTTGATCAGAAAGCCCTGGAAGCGGTCCGCAAGGAAGTAGAGGTGGACAGATGCCGGGTGGCCCATCGGGTAGTACCTGGAACACACACACAGTCTCATGTGAGTTCAGGGGGCGGGGCCCAAGGCGCTCAGGCGCACAACACAGCGTGCCGCCCTGTCCCCGCAACAGGCCCCGTTTTATCCAGCGCTGACCACAGGCCCTTTGCACCATCCCCGAAAGCTGCTCCCTGTGCATCTCAGATCCCAGTCACCCCCAATGACTTTCTGGCTGATTATCAATGTAAAACCTGCTGACTGTACAAAAGCACAATAAGGAAAAAAAAAATTATTACTTCTGATGCTGCTTCCCATAGAGGATGTCAAATCACAGATATTTATTGATCCTCCTGTGCCAGGTACTAGGAAGGGCCAACGGTGGGCCAACGATGCCATAGTGATGGATCTCCTCTCAGCCTGATTTTCTATGCATATGTTTGCATAAATCTTACATGCCTGGGATCGTAATATACATCCTAGTTATATCCTGCTTTTTGCTTCATAGTATTTCCTGAGCATCATCACATGCCTTTGAAATGTCTCTGAAAACATGATTTTTGTGTGTGGGCACACACACTACTCCACAGTGTGCAATGCCATATTTCACAGAGCAAGGGGAGTCATGCGGGTTCTGAGCCACGGCCTCCAGAAGCCTTGCCCATTTCTAATTGCCTTTCTGGCTCTTTTGTGACCACCGAGAGAGCATGTGTGAGTTAGCCCGCTGGAGGACAAGCCACCCCAGTTGTCCCAGCCGAAGCCATCCTAGATGCGGTGACGATTCTCAGCCAAGAATGCAGAGGACCCCCGCCCCCGACCTGCAGCTGGCTGCAGATGCAGTGGAGACCAGATGCTGCTCAGCTGACCCACCAACTTGGGCGCTGTGTCGACGCTTATCGAAAACTCTGATTCACGGCTTGTTACACAGCATCGTTGCGCTAAGATACCCTTGTCGCTGTTTGTTCTGTAAGGTGGGTGGTGTCAGTGCAGGTGGACGAAAAGCAGGAGAGCTTGTCACGGGAGTCAAAACAAGAAAGCAGTTCCGGAAGGGAGCGGTCAGTTGTACTGGGTGCTGCTAAGGGGTCAAGTAAATGCCACAGATGCATCCACTTGGCCCAAAGGTGTCTTTCTTACTTAAATAACGTGGGCACTGAAAAAAATCAGATTCACAGAAAAATCTGGATTTCTAATTTCTCTTGAAAAATCAGGAGACGTGTTGGCAACTTCAAGTCTACTAATTCCCTTAGGGCAAGAATGTGCTGGAGCTCAGAACGAGGGCCCATGGGGGCTCCAGATTGGTGAGGTCAGCCCACCCTACAGGGGTGAGCAACACCACCTGCCACCCGCCTGTTCCCGGACAGCATTTGAGTTTGAGTACCTGTATTAAAATACTGACAGCCTTATCTCTGGGTGGTGGCTCCCAAAAGCAAACTTGGTTTTTTTTTTTTTTGGTTCTCTCAGTCTGCCATTTCAAAAATTTCTGCACTGAACATGTGTTATTTTATAATGAGAAAAAAATCAACAGACATTATTTCTATGAAAGGTTATACTATAGACTGGAAAGACAATTTGCATGAAATGCCCAGAGGAAATGAGGTTCCTGAAATAAAGTTTTCACTTGCTATTTCCCCAGACACCCCAGGGGCAGGAATTCACTCTCTTTTGCCTTTTGGGATAAGGGTCCTTTATCCTGATTTATTCGCAGAAGCATATCCATAAGTGTATCCAACTTTGCCCACAGCAAGGCACAATGGTTCTATTATAATAAAAAATGAGGTAGAAGCCAAAGGATTCTAGGCCCCAGGCAAGTCGATGGCTTGTTTAATCCCAAAACAAATGCCAGGAGAAAATCTCAACAATCCTAAATGAATTGGGGGTGTCTTTTGCAATTTCCTCTATATGGTCATTTGCCTTATAAATTCCGTGAAGTCTGGTACTACAACTATTCTTGAACAACATTCACCTCCAAAGCGTCGGGCACTGCGTTACCTACAGCAATGTGCACAGTGGCTCTGCGGGCAGAGATTCTGTCGCAGACTAGCAGGAAGGGAAAGACACTCGTGGATGACCTTGACCCCTGGCACCGCAGCTACCCACCATGAGAGTGCTGGAGGGAAGTCTGAGCTACTTCCAGCTTGGGAGGGGGAGCCCCTGAGAAGCTTCGCAGAGGATGTGGTACTGGAGCTGACCTTCAAAGACTGGGGAAGGGTGGGCTGTGCAAGGGAACGTGCCGAGCAAAGGGAACCACGGACAGTCAAGGAGCAGTTCATACCGCCAGTTAGGGAGCGTGCAGCTCCCACACCCAGCTCACTGTTGACTGCTTGTGGCAGCTTCACGGTAACAGCAAGCAACTGAGACATCCACAGTGACATGCGCACTTAGTGAGCACTTAGCATGTAAAACACTGTTAAAACAGGGATAATAATAACAGTAATACATAACTCATAAGGCAGTGTTTGAAGATGGTCTCCGTTAAAACTCCCACCAGCTTATGCTACGAGGCTTATTATTAGTGCACCCATCTTACAGATGAGGGAACTGAGGCACAGAGAAGTTAATGGCTTGTCCAAGGTCAACAGGTAGTAAGTACAGTCCTGGGTTCCTAACCCACTGGTCTCCCTTCAAACCAGACTAGAACTTGCCGAGAGAGGAGAGAGAAGTCTGAGGCCAGGAGAAGCGAAATGAATGGAGGCCGGCTTGCTGCAGCCCTGTAGCCTAGCTGGCCATGTGCCAGACACCGGGAGGACACTTTGCCACGTTTCCAGGCTTTTAGGGAACAAAATGGTTCCTCTTCCCTTCTCCTTCTTCCGCTCTCCAGAAGAGGGAAGAGCGGGGCAAGGAGGGACACCAGGGGAGGCCTCAGTGTGGACAGTTTGGGGTTCAAAGAAAAGGGAGGTGGGATGAAGAGGGGAATGGAAAACAAGAAAGAGAAGGAGAGTGATTAGAGGCACTTCCTGGGAATCCATCCCAAGACAATCATCAGAAAAGGGAAGGGGAAAAAAAAAAAAAAGGCTTTTACACAAAGACAGTCATCAGAACGTTATTTACAATGGTCCATTACTGACAATGCAACAGGAAAGGACTGGATTAGGCAAACTCGGGAATTTCTACTCAGTGGAATCCTTGAGGGATTAAAGATCATCATCATCAGGGAAGCTGCAGAACAGCATGGGGAAAAGGGGCCAATATTATAATGCCAAATGAAAAAAACAGGATTCCAAATTCTTATTGCAATTATGTAAATATCTGCAATGCATGTTGCCGGTAAGGAAGAAAAGGCACACAAAATGACAAAGCTGGTTGGCTTAGGGAAGGCGGGTGGGGGGGAGGTTTGTGGTGAATTGCTCTCCTACTTTCCCCTCTTCTTTCCATATATTCTAGAACACTCTTTCTTGGAAGTGTCAACTGGTACCTGCTACTGGGGGGCTGAGATGATTCTAAGGGATCCCTGAACGCCTTAAATAATAGGTCTGCATTTTAACGATGTTTTCGGTGATATTTTTAGGTGTGCCAACCATAGTATGGTTGTGCTTTCAAAAAGAGCCTTTATTTTTCAGAGATACCTATTAAAATACTCATGGCTCAGATGAGAGTCTGGGCTTTGCTTCAAACTGATCTGGGAGGAGGGGTAAGTGGGCAAAAGCCAAGAGGAAATCGCCTTGGCCCGGAGCTAGAAATCGCTAGAACTGGGTGATGGGGGGGTATGGGGTTGTACTCTACTATTTCGTATATACTTGACATCTTCTGTAAGAAGAATTAAACAAACAAAAGTACGTATTTTCATGGTTCCCTTCCGTCTAAGGCAAACACGCCTATTTAATGTGGGGACATAAAGCTTCCTTCTAAGATAGACAGACTTCGCTTAAAGAGCGGGTGCCCCGCCAGGACATAATTAGGTGAAGAGAAGACGTGGTGTTCTGCAAAAAATAGTTGTGGGACCGTGGCTTAGAGCAGACGAGCTTGGCCCATGGGGATGGTTCGGCTGCTTTTTAGGTCAGGGGAGACGGGGAGAAGCACGCGGTCGCCACGTGGCACCCTCCTTCCAGTGCTGTGCGCCCCCCCCCCCCCCGCCTGCCCGTCCGCCCCCGGGCTCACCGGCAGCTATTCTCCCCCTCCACGTGCAGCGACGACTCCGCCCGATGGAGGCCCTGGCGGGCAAAGGAGTGATACAAGGTGAGCGCCACGTCGCTCAGGCTTTGGGTGCCGTCCGGCTCGTCGTACACGTTCTCCCAGTAGGAGCGGAGGCCCGGGGTGCCCGCAGGGTAGTTCCCGTACAGGTAGTAGTCCAGCTGCCCGATGATTTCCTGATTCACCACGGCTTCGAATTTTCGGGCAAAGAAGGTGGGCCTGGCAGTCTGCTGTGCTCCGGGGCGGGGGTGGGGGGTGGGTTGGAGTGGAGAGAATAAAAAGAGCAACGTCAGCAAGCGGGGTGGGGGTTTTAGGAGCAGGGCTCTGCAGCCAGCCTGTCTGGATCCCGATCCCAGCTCTGACACTTACTAGTCTCTATCCTCAGTTTCCTCATCTGTAACATGGAGATAAGGAGAAGTGTGTCAGGAATGAATGAGTTAATGTTTGCAGAGCATTTAAAGCAATGATGGGCACACAGTCAGCATCATTTAAATGTCCGTTAAATAAATGACATCCTGGATGTTTACAGCGGAGACAGATCTCAGAAATCACTTAAGCTGGAGGTCTGGGGCAAAAACAGCCTGCAGATATATTTTAGTTGTCCAGCAGAGTGTTTTAAAATTGAATTAGCTGGCAAACAGTTAAAAGGTACCAGAGTTCACAGAAACAACTTTTGGCTTCCCTTTAAGCAGAAATAGACCTGGCAACCCCAGGCCCATGTTCCCAGAAGGGAACGACCAGCTAAAGCTGAAGGGCAGCTCTCCCTCCCTGTAGATGTGCACGGACGCTTCCGCTCACCTCAGTCCCCACCACTCCCTATTGCCTCCTGGGCATTGCCGGTGATTTACAGACTCAAAAGGAACAGCCCAGAGGTACTGGTGAGAGTCTCTGCAAGGGGGGCTTAGGAATCTACATTCTTAACAAGTTTTTGAGGGGATTCGTTTGCTGAGGTTTGAAGAGGATGTGACACCGGAACCGGGGCTGCACACCACTGCCAACTGAATAGCCTGGGTGGCTTAGTCCGTTAAGCGTCCGACTCTTGATTTCCGCTCAGGTCATGATCTCAGGGTTGTGAGATCGAGCCCTCTGTTGGGCTCTGCACTGCACATGGAGCCTGCTTAAGAGTCTCTCTCTCCTTCTCCCTCTGGCCCTCCCCCTTCCCTCTCTTAAAAAAAAAAAAAATCAGTTTCTGGAGTCCTTCCCCAGACCTACAGTGTCAACATCTCTGGAGATGAGGTTTAGGAATCTGTAACCAAAAAAGTTTCCCAGGTGATCATGAAGACCACTTATGTAAACCAAGTTTTCAAGGAAACAGAGGCCCAGAGAGGGAAAGGGAGTCACACAGCAAGATAATGGCAAAGCCAGGATTAAGATCCAGGGTTGAGGATAAAGAAATAAAATACAGGCCGCCCTGTTATCTACCTGCTCTTAACCCTCATGCCTGGGTGGGGACTCACAAAGGGCCACGTAATAATTATTTCCAGCTTTGCAGCTACTCAGCTCTGCTGGTGTCCAGTGAAGCAGCCACATAGTAAACGCAGCCGTGGCCAATGAATGGGTGTGGCCGTTTTCCAAAAACCTTTACTTACAAAAGCAGGATTTGGCCCAGGGGCTGTAGTTTGCTGACCCCGGTCTAGGGCTACGGGAACAATGAAAGCACAGACCCTCCCTTGAGAAGCTTAGGGTCTAGTGCTATTACGGACCTTAAACTGGGTCTGGTACTGTTTTCAGTGCAATGGATTAATAACTGTACTAATGACAATAAAAACCACTGAGCACACACTCTCTGCAGAGCACTGCGTTCATGTCACCACCACGAATTCTTCCATCAACTCTGCAAAGCAGGCATGATGACCCCCATTTTACGTATAAGGAAGCTGAGCTCAGAAAGGCAAAGTGATATATACAGACTCACACATCCGCAGGATTCGAACCCAGATCTGAGGACTCAAGCCCAATCTCTTTCTACTGCATCATCCTAGGATTGAGCTGCTAACTGAGCAAACAAACATCCTTGGTATTATTCTGAACATCCCCTTGCTTCCCTGCTTTAGGAACCCTGTGGTGGTCTGTGGATAATATTTAATAATATCCTGGCCCTCTGTGTGGTGGAGGGTCAGTTCAGTTCCCTTACAGTAGCACTGAAAAGAGACCACTTGGGTTCAAATCCTTACTCTGCTACTTTCCAGCTATATAGGTTTTTGGGGGAAATCACCCAGGGCCTCAGCTTCTTCATCCTTGAAATGGGTATAATCCTAGAGGTACTTAGCATAGAGTCTGGCACACAGGGTCATCTGCTATTATGATCTATTGTCACTACCCCCTAAAGCCTGTGACAAGAAGCTTCTAGATCTTCATGTTCTGAGGGCAAGAGAAGTGGACTCAGGGGCCGGGCAGCCTCCGGTCTCTGCTTGTGATTCTCCATTCCCAGCTGGATCTTCTAAAAGGGCACGTTTCTAGATTTACCACTCTTTTTTGAACAAGAACTCTGAGTTTCTTACAGGCAGCAGTTTCTTGAGTCTAGATGTTGGGGGATATTCTGGATCTTTGTTTACTGTGAAAGAAACAGCTGTGAGCAAGTGCGAGGTCTCCGTGTTGGCCTGTCTTTACCAGAGACCACGATGTCCCCGGGAGGCTGGGGGCTGGAACGCTGAAGCCTGCTCCACCCAAGAGCAGCAGGGCTGCTTGCTCTCAATGATGACGGTCCTTTGCCTCGAGGGCAACAATTGGTCCTCTACAAAAGTGGGAATCTTTTTTTTTCCCTTTTGAATAGGTCAAATACTCCCCGCCCCCCCACACCCGCAACCCTCTTTCTGCTCAGCGGATCCTTTCTGCATGGACAAAGGCGTTAAATGTCACCCAAGTTCATACCTAAATCAACATGGGTTTGAGGAGGTCCCTAGGTAGCTCTTAATCTGCCACCAAAAACAGGCCTAAAGAAATACTTATTGCAGCAACAGCTGACCTGGGTGTGGGATGTCAGGTGGGCACCTGGAAGGGACCCGAATAACGAGATGACACCTGCTGTGTGCTCTGCACCCACGTAGGCACAAAACCAGGGTGGCCGCGGGGTCTAGTGGAAAAAGCCCAGGTCTGTAACTGGAAGCACCTGGGAGGGACCCCCAGGCCTACCACTCCACTGTGTGTCCACGGACAAGAAAGTTCGCCCCTCTGTGCCTCAGTTTCCCCACCTGCACAACGGGGATGATGCCTACCCCAGGGAAGCCAACGTCCACAGAGGGCCTGGCACAGAGCCAGGGACAGAACGGATCCCTACCCCTGGGCTTCTCAAACATAAGAAGCCTCCCAGTCACCCAGAGAATCTTATTTATATGCGGATTCTGACCTGGCACGTGTGGGGCAGCGGCAGAGATTCTGTACTTCTTACAAGCTCCCTGGCAAGGCTGATGGGGATGGTCTGGGGACCACATGCCAAGGAGAGGAGCCAGGCTCAGAGACCGGAAGCTCCGTTTGCGCCCTCCCCTGGGTGGTTTTGGTACGTGCCCCAGTGAGTTGGCCGGGGCACCTTAGCCTGGGTTACCGACCTGCACTGTGGCTCCCGCCCGCCCTCTGGGCTCGCGCTTGCGGAAGAAGCATACTGTCTCCAGGTGGTGGCTCTCGTGACCTCAGAGCCATGTGCTTAGCCATTCTGGGGCGTTCTGTCTGTGCTCTCAGGAGCAGGGGCGAGGGCACGGTGGAGGGGGAGAGGAGAAAGAGCCTCAGGGTGCTGGCCTAGAGGGAGCAGGAGGGGCACTCACACGGGATGGAAAGAGGCTGCCATCCTGAACAGGTCTGGGGGCCAAGGCATTCTCGGGGCTCACAGACGCAGGTGGAGCACTGACCACCCCTTGCCCGCTGCTCTCCCCAGAACCGTAAATGGCCAGGCCGTGCAGAGATACTGTGACAGCACCAACGCGTCTACCCCCTCTTCCTCCTTTAGGTCCTCAGAGCACGGTGTTTTCCAAACCTGGCTGCCCATCAGAATTTTCCAGAGTCTAACAGGTTAAAATAAAAATTCGCGGACCTCACCAGAGACCAGCAGTTCTTAACTGGGGGTGAGTTTGCCCCCAGAGGACATCTGGCGATGTCTAAAGCCATTTCTGGTCATCACAACTGGAGCTTGCTCCTAGATGGGAGTGGCCAAAACCCAGGGATGCTGCCGAACATGCAGCAAGGTGCGGGACGGTGCCCCCCGCAGCAGAGACCGACCCAGATGCCATGTTAAGAGGACTGAGGTGGAGAAACTCTGCCCTGGGCACACTCAACGTTGTACCCAGAAACACATTCTTAACCCACATTTCGGGGGACTGACTGAAAGAGAAATGGACGTGGAAACATACATTGGCCTGTGTGACCTCAAGTTTTTTGACCTTTCTGTGCCTCAGTTTCTCCATCTCCAAAACAGAATAACACTATCTCTATATACCCATCTAAGGTTCATGAGTCAATACAGGCAAAATGGTTAGAACTGCTCTGGCACGGCGGAAGTGGCCGATGAATGGTGGCCCCTGCTCATGCTGTCACCGTTACTACCCCCAGCCAGGGCTGGTCGCCGCAGGACAAGACGCCACACGGGCCCGGCTGGCGGGCTCACCTGGAAGCGGTGGAAATCCTGTGGCTTGAAGTCGTTGGGCGAGCAGCCGCACCAGTCCACGATGTGCTTGTACTGGCACTTGCAGCCCAGCTTCCGGTTCCAGTTGGTGATGCGCAGGTTGTTGTCCACCATGGTGTCGCAGTGGGGGCTGTTCTCCAGGACCGTGTGGAAGAAGGACTGCAGGGGAGAGAGGGAAGGGACTGGCCTGAATCCTCCTCCAGCTTCCCTCCCCAGCACCACATGACTGTGCAGGGACTCCCTAGGGAGGCTCCTCGGTCGTCTCTGCCAAGGGGGGTCAGCCGCCAGTCTGGTGTGACTCAGGGCACACGGGATGTTTTGTCCAGAGGGGCTGAATTCCGCTTGGAAGTCCAACGCTCTGGGTGTTTCTCTAAATTGTCTTTCCCGACAATCTACAATCTGATTTTGAGGTGTTGCCTATCATTCAGGACATCTTCTGTCTGCCTGGCAGAGAGGAAAAGTCCCTCCGGTCATGTCCACACATGGGAACCAAAGGAAATATGGTGACAATTATCCAGAAAACCTTGAGCCAAAAAGGCTCATACTTTGCAAATGGCCAGGTCTGAAACCAAAGGGATTCTAGTCTGAGATATCTCGAGAACAAAGACTGATGCTCTGGAATTTCACCCCTGGGTAAGGGAAGCCAGGTTCATGGGTGTATCAGTCCCAGGCTGGAAGGTGTCCCAGGTACCCTTCCTGCTTTAGCCACCGGCGGGAGCTGGACTGCAGCACAGGGAGGGGCGGGCCACAGCTGCTTGCTGTCCGTGGTGCTGAACCAGGCTCTGTTGGTCTCTGCTAATCCTAAGACTCTTGGCCTCTCTCTCCTAAGAATCTGAGAAAGAAGCAATGCTGAGAGTGGAGAGAGAGAGACCAGAGAGGAGAGAAATGGTTATACCCTCTGAAAGACAGAGAGAGAGAGAGAGAGAGAGAGAGAGAGAGAGAGAGAGAGAGAGAGAGAGAGAGAGAGAGAGAGAGAGAGAGAGAGAGAGAGACAGACTTCTATTTGAACACTGTTTTATAACAACCCCAGATACGAGGCAGATACCTTCTCCCCTGCCCTCTGCTCCCTAGGGGAAGCTGTTGGGGGATAGGAGTCTGCCTGTAATAAATTTATGGCTCAGCCTTTAGATTTATTCTAAAGTGGTTTTCTGGTGGTGGTCTGGGAGAAGAAAGGGCAAGGCAGGGACGCTGTGGAGTGTAAAGTGCTTGTGTGTGCTGGGACAGGGTTGTGACAGACAAAGCCAGCATCAGGATGGGCATCTTGATTAAAACCACCAGAGCCGCACACAGTCTCTTCTCAATGGGTGGATGGGCAAAACAAGGCTCCACCCATCACCCCCAGCTTCCCTTCCTGTGCTGCTCAATGACATATACCCGTGAACCTGGATTTTAAGCTTGAATTGTCTACAAGCCCACAGAGGCACATATTCTCCATCAAGCGGTGGGGAAAAGTTCCCAATTACCAATTGCCCTGCGTCCTTTCATAATGATACAGAAATTCCCCGCAAGATAATGGATGAGGAGGTTATCGGCACTGAGAGAAAAGGTGATTTTCAGTGAAATAGGATTAAAAATGGATTACTGAATGTGTGTGCAGAATAGTAAAACCAGGCCCAGTGATGTCAAGCCCATCATCCCTCTGGAGTGACATGAGGGGTCAGCCCTACCAGCCTGGTGCTGCCCCAGATGTTGGTGAGGGATGTGGGAACCATCAAATGAGGTGTGTTGTCTCGTCTGGCCTAGAAACACAGCCTGAGCCTGGGGCACCGCCAGGAAGAAATGGTAGGAGACCACTCACGGGAGGTGTCATGGGCTCAAGAGAAGTGGAACGAGCTCTGGAGTTTTCTGAAGTCAGAAACTGGGATGGAAGTCAATTGGAGGTCGGTGCAGGTCCGAGAAGGCTGCTGGCCTGTCAGTGGCAACATTGCAGAACTGGGTCCCCACCCACCTCCAGATGGAGCGGGGGACAGTTCCAGAATGGTCTGCAACCATACGCAACCAGGCTTCTGCAATGGAGTGCACGTTTCTGTCTCCTTCCAAATTCAGAGGTTGAAATCCCAGCCCCACAACGTGACGGTGTTAGGAGGTGAGGGCCTTTGGGAGGTGATTAGACTAGGAGGGTGGAAACCTCATGAATGGGGTTCATGCCCTGACAAAAGGGGCCCCAGAGAGCTCCCTCATCCCTTGTGGCATATGAACGGTCAGTATGCAGTCTGCAGCCCGGAACTGGGCCCTCTCTGGAACTCGACCATCCTGGCACCCTGACCTGAGACTTGCAGCCTTCAGAACGGTGAGAAGTAAATTTTTGTTGTGTATAAACCACCTACTCTGTTGTACCTCATTGCAGCAGTCTGAACTAAGATACCTTTCCTGCACTGAAGTCTGAAAAGTGGTGACAGGCTCCCTGGAGCTTTTCAAATGCTTCTAAAAGTCATCAGGAAATGCTGAGTCCCAGTGGCTATGAGTACGGGGGATAGTGCAGGTCCAGCAGAAGCCCTGGCTGTCTTTGGAATCATTGGAATTTCCATTTGTGAATGATGAGGCCAACACTACTGTCTGTCAGGGAATGACAGACAAATATTAAAAAATTAGAAAAGGTATTCTTCATGTTGAAAAAGTGGGTATTACAGGATTGGTGACCATGGAGGATCTGTCAAAAGTTGATGTGGGTGTGTCCTGAAAAAGCCAGCATATACAGTTGCGCAGGCTACACCCTGCACAACCCTAATGGGGCAACATCAACATGGTAGGTATGAGAGATTTCTATTTTTTTGTTTTTAACAAACATTTTCTGGAAAGTGGCAGTGAAGTGTCTTGTTCTAACAAGATCAGTATATCAGGATGATTTTTATGACCAATGGGAGCCAAGTGTCTTGAGAAAGGACTGCCTTTTCTACTTTGCACAAAGATGCCATGTGGACTGCTGCTGGCAGTCGTGTGTCTGTCTGCCATACACCCTCCATGCAGACCAGAGGGGGGCCGGGGGCCTGCTATGACAGCAAGGACCCGGTGGCTGATGCAGTTCTCCACCTTCATCTGGATGTTTGCAGGACTACATATTGGATCCAGCATCGCTTTGCCAAACCTTCAGCAAAAATTCAGCTTCTGTGTTGCTCCAAAGGCTACAGCCAGCTCCTAACCTGCTCAGAGACTTTTTTCCTACACACTCACCTCAGCAGGAAGCAGGGTGTAGGAGTAAAACTGCTTCATCTTGGTCACTAGATCATCTGTGGAGAACGTCACATACTCCACAAACTTCCGGTTCAGCAGGAACCAATCCGAGCCTCCATCCACCGCAATGCCCTCCGGGATTCGCCGGTCCCCCAGGCGCCACATGTGGGCATCACACTCCAGGAAGAGCCGGTCCAGACCCTGCTTTCGGATGAACCTGGGAAAGACAAAGTCGCCCTTCAGCCCAAAGGGGGACGGAATCCAAATGAAGTAGCACAATCATGGCAATAAAAGCATGTACTGGGCACTTACTGTATGCCAGGGATCGAGCCGGGGAGGGGCTGTGTGTGTAGTTTGTCACTTGATCTTCAGAAGTGAGGCAGGTCACTATATCCCTATGAAACGGGCATTGCCATTATGCCCATTTTACAGCTGAGGACCCTGAAGCTTAGAGTGTTTAGGGGGATTTGCCCGGCCCAAGAACAATGCAATGATCATCTTCTTCCTTTGCAGAACTTTTGGAAATCACCTTTTCATGCCGTGAACGCCTTGGCAGTTGGGTGAATACAGCCTCTGGATGCTCGTCTCAGAATCATGCTTTTAAAGGCACACCTCAAAATATGTAGGATTACAAAGTATTTTATCATGCTCTTAAAGGCACACCTCAAAATATGTAGGATTACAAAGTATTTTTTAACAACACCAAAGTTACGATCTGATAATTTGTGTGCTTTTGGATTCACGCATTAAATACAGGATCACAAAAGATTTTTTAAAAACACCAAATTCATGATAATCATGTGTTTCTTTTTTTTTTTTTTTTTTTTAACCACGAGATAACATGATCTTGCGGCAGGTCTAATAACTACTGTAATGGTGCAGAAGAGGTGAACGTAAATGATACTTAGAGGTATATGCACAACCAGAATGTGATATGAAAATCTGTGATTCCTAACAGTTACTGCTAAAACTGTTGTGGTGTGTTACCTCTATTTAGCTGGATTTTAATGAAAGTTTAGTGGAAACAAAGATAATTTTCTGCCCAGCCCAAATTATGGAACCCTTGAATTGTCTCCATGAACCCCAGATTAGTAACTCCTGCGTTAGTGTGTGTGTGTGTGTGTGTGTGTGTGTGTGTGTGTGTTTGGGATTTGCAAGCAGGCTGAGCAGAATTGGCAGCTCCTAATTTGTAGATGCAGAAATCAAAGATCAAAGGGCTGCTAAAACAGATGTGCTGGGAGGGTGGGTAGAACTAGAACCAAGCCTTCTGGCCCGAACCGTCAGTTCCTTTGCAGGATGAACTTCACACATACTGTGTGCCAGGCAGTGTGCTGGCCTGGTGTGGGGCAGGAAGGACCAGAGGGAAGGATGCTCCTGCCCCTCAGGAGCTAGTTCTCTCTCTGGGAGCCTGCAGTCTAGCCATCTCCTGACCCAGGGATCTTGCTGCTTCTCCAGCTCATACAACACAAGAGCAACCATTTTAAAGTGCACAATTCAATGGTATTTGTACGTTCATGATGCTGCGCAGTTGCCGCCTGTGTAGTTTCAGAATATTTAAGCACCCTCCCCCAAAGGAGACCCTGTACCCGGGAGCAGTCACTCGCTCCGTCCCTCTGCCCCTGGCCTCTGGCAACCGCCAATGTGCTTTCTGCATCTGTGGATTTTACTTATTCTGGACATTTCATAGATTCAATCAGACAATATGTGGCCTGTTTGTATTTGGCTTCCTCCACCCAGCATGTTTTCAAGGCTTCATCCCGTGTTCTTGACTACCCAGCATCCACTCCTCAATTTTCTGGGACCACACCTTGATTCTTCCTTGGACAGTCACCTATCTTCAGTCTCAGTTGACCTGGATTCGTGCCCTACCCCCAGCACCAGGGGTGGCAACATGACCAGGCTGGTCATGAGAGTGTTCCATCTGACCCGGCTGGATAACTGGTTCAGGGATGGGTGAGTAACTCAAGGTAAGTCTGACATCGGGCCCTGGATTTTTGCTGCGTCTACCAGGAAGGAGGCTCTTCTATGGCGTTTCTGCTGGGAGAATGTCAGCCTAGAGCTGCTAGCAGCCATCCTGTCCCCCTGAGTATGGAAGCTGTTTGACAGTGGAGGTAACACAGAAGGGAGAGGGACGGAGAGGGGGAGATGGAGAGAGAGCAAAAGAGCGAGGGAGACAGGGAGGGAAAGGAGCAGAAGGAAGGGGGGGTTAAGTCTCGGTGACTCAGCTTGAGATCCTGGAGCCCACCCTGCGTGACTCACCACCAGGCTCATCAGTAATGTGCTTAGGGCATTTGGAGATGAGATTCTATCACTTGCAGTTGAGAAAATCCTAATACATTCCTCAACAATTTAAACTTTTATCCCTACCAGGATGGAGGTGAATGTTCTCAGGCCCTGGACAGAGCAGGTAACCACGGCTGTGGCACGTAAATACCCCTCTTCCACTAAAGCCAGTCCACCTCCCTCGTCATGCGTCTACAGGTCTTTGTACCTCCATGACAGATGTCATCACTGGCTTCAGATTCGAGTTACCAGTCTCCCCCCGGGTAGACGTGGCTCTCATTAGAACTGACCTCGGATTCCTCCTTTCCGCTTTCCTCCCAGTTTCTAGGACAGCGCAAGGCAGTGATTCAGGAAAGGTCTATTTTTTTTTTTTTTTAAAGACCTTATTTATTTGAGAGAGAGAGCAAGCGGGGGAAGGAGCAAAGGGAGAGAGAGGGAGAGAGAGAATCCCAAGCAGACTCCATGCTGAGCATGGACACCGATGTGGGGCCTGATCTCATGACCTTGAGATCATGGCCTGAGGAGAAATTAAGAGTTGGACACTTAACCAACTGAGCCACCCAGGCGCCCCTCAGGAAAGGCCTATTGTGATGGCCACACTGCAGGGTACAAAAGCTGGAGTCAGTTTCACCGTGCTGGATGGACATGCTGAATTGTACAGGGACTCCCTCCCGCTGGCCTCCCCCAATCCACTAACATCCACTGGAGGGAACCGTGTGAAACCTCGCTAATAAATCCATAACCCCAGTACTTTCTTCTGCATTTAAGTGGGGGACCTGCCCCTATACACTGGTCACCCTTTGAGCATGATGATGTAATACACTGAGTTCTTAACAGAAATGATGACAGTGTCATCCAAACACTGATGATGGTGAATAGGCTGAGTTCTGCTGAAAAGCGCTTTTCATCTACACTGTGGTTCGGCTCCACCAGTAACCAGCTGAGTTGACTTTGGGAGGTGATGTCCTTAAGTACTGGCTTCCCCCTTGGTAAAATGATAAAGTTGGGCTAGGTCTGGATCGCAACCTCAGATGCCTACAGGGGTCAGACCGATAACGGAAGCGTGGGAAGCAGGCTGGGTATAAGACAATAGGGTAGGTGGAGTTAGCAAAGAAGGAGAGAAAGCATTTTTTGAAAAGCACTCAAACTCCTTAAAAAAAAAAAAAAGGTATTTCTGGCTACATAAAACAGATCCCTGCCTGACTCCAGCTCATGGGCCACCAGCCATAATAACCATGGGTTAAGGTAACTGTCGGGCATTTTCCAGTTGTGACGCTAAGTCACTCTGTTGTACCCAGGAAGAGAGTGTGGGGCAGGAATTCCAGCTGCATCCGCGGGATCCCAGAGAAAGCTGATGACTCTTCCGAGGATACACAGAGGACACGAGCCAACCAGAAGACCCAGATATTCAAAGACCCTAGTCTTGTTCTTTCCCTAACACAGGTTTCCAAGGGTAAAATCCAAGCTGTTCACAAAGCCATGTTCTCTCTGGGAGTGACTTGTTGGAGGTTTTTCAGTATACTTCCTGTACCACTCCACGGACACAAAACTGAGCGCTAAAACCCGTCCATTAAAGGAAGCCCCTGAGTTGAGGAAAAGAAAATCCTACCTCAGCTCTGGCTGGTGCTAATTATATAATAATATCCAATCACAGACACTTAATCATGCGTAAGACTTTAAATTTTAGCTAACTTACAGCAGAACTTACATGGTAACCAAGACTAACCGAGAGAGAGAAAGAAAAGAAATACAGGGGTGAGGACATGCAAAAGTTTTCTTTCCACATTTCATGTTCCATTATGGGAGAACAGCCTCGTCTTGCAATTTTAATGTGACGTCCCAGACCGTAACATCCAAATACAACATTTATGCAGTCATCTCCAAAATGAAATATTCATGGGGTGGGAGATTGGTTGCTATATTTACTGCATTTGAAAAGTGATAAGCTGCAAATTCATGCTTTGGTTAATTATGAGTCAATAGAGACAAACAATCCCCCAGCTCTCAGTTCCAGGGTTGAGAGGGGGTCTGGACTAGGGAGGAGGTGGCCCGAGGCCCAGAGTCTGGGTTTCTAGCAAGGGAAAGGAATCAGCTGCTTGGGCAGGGATCTGCATTTTGTTTCCCGCCCTGGGCATTCGCCACCGCTTGCAAAGGGAATGGCTGGAAATCAAGGTAAAGTGGCCAACAGCTGGGTGTGGCTGTTCACAAATGTTGGTCAGCAGCCAAGGATGCGTGGTGCTGTCACCTGAGGGGTGGCGTGCAGACTGGGCCCGATATACAGAGGGTGACCAATGACACTCCCCTCTCTCTAGTTTCATCTCCAGATGACTTGCTTATGTGGGGGCAACAGGGGCAACAGGTGGAATGAGAGAAGAGATGCGGAGAGCATCTGGGTACTAAAGCTGTCTCTGCTTTCACAGACGGTGAGCTGTGGGGTTGCCTGGGCTCTCTGAATGCCAGTTTGCTCATCTGTAGGATCAGCTCCATCACAGCTGTGCTGACAAACCCCTGAATCAGCTGTGAAGGTGTGACAGGTGAGGTTTACGAAGGTTCTTGCTAAGTGTTCAGGAAGCACCATTCATCCTAGCCATGGACCGACCCAGGTGTCAGCCCCTTCTTACAAAGCGGCAGCACCCTCCACAATCCCTCATGTTCCTGACCACCCTTTTGTGCTCTGTTTTTCATAGCATTTAAAACTTTGCATTACCATATACAAGGTATTTATTTAGTTTACTGTCTCCTTACTGGATGTAAGCCCAAGAGGGCAGCGCGTTTTTGCTTTTTGGCTTATTTTTGTTCATGGCTGTATCCTTAGTACCTATAATAGAACCTCGCATACAGCTGGTGCTCAGTAAATATTTCCTGAGCCAATGAATAAAGGGAAGAGTAACAGCTAACAGCCATGCTGGTTGTTCAATCAGGAAGTAGCAGCCC